GCCCCAAGATTTGCAGCAGCTCGCCTGGCTCTGTGCTGTCGTAGAGCGCAAAGGAGTATGCACTGCTGCCTGTGGGGGGGAAGACGTGGGACAAGGGGGGAAGGGTGGTTAGTGGCATGGCGTAGCAAGAATCGAGGATCTGCAGCAGGTTGCCACGCTGTGTGCCGTCGTAGAGCACACAGGATTATGTGGTTCCACCTTTTGGCACGACTTAGAAGTAGGGCTGCAGTGTAAGAAGTGATTGTCTTGTCTTGACCAGGATCCACATTCCACACTGACAAATGACTGCTTTTGAGTCGACTCAAATGCAGATTTTGGGCCCGCAGGAGCTGCAGGTGGTGAGCGGCGCCCTCTTCCCCTACGTGCTGCCATTGCGGGCAGTGCCTCGCAGCGACCATGTGGAGCCGTTCCCTGAGGGGCTGTTCGGCTGCACGTACGAGGCGCACTGCAGGTGGGTGCCACCGTGGGAAGCCACCGCGCTCCACCGCATTTTACCGAGAGGCACCGCTCTGTGCGCCACAAGGAAGGTTAGTGTGGAGCGACCACTTGGTGGTGCCTTAGCAACCAATCAGTAGTGGCTTGGCGACCAATCAGTAGTGACTTGGCGACCAATCAGTAGTGACTTGGCGACCAATCAGTAATGACTTGGCGACCAATCAGTAGTGCCTTAGCGACCAATCAGTAGTGCCTTTGCGACCAATCAGTAGTGCCTTAGCGACCAATCACTGGTGCCTTAGCGACCGATCAGTGGTGCCTTAGCGACCACTTGGAGCCGTTCCCTGAGGGGCTGTTCGGCCGCACGTACGGCACACTGCAGGTGGGTAACGTGATATTCTTGCCGCATTCCACCATGTTCCACCGCATTACACCGTGATGCACCGATGTGCATGCATCCGGGACCGGAAGTGCTTCGCAGCGACCATGTGGAGCCGTTCCCTGAGGGGCTGTTCGGCCGCACGTACTAGGCGCACTGCAGGTGGGTGTGTGCCACCATGGGATGCCACCGCGTTCCACCACGTTCCACCTTGATGCACCGCTCTGTGTGCATCAATGGGTCACAGGTTGGTGGGTGAACAGGTTTGTGGGTGGGCGGAGTGCGGGTAGTTGTATGCTGAAAATCTCAACCTCACCCGACTTTATTCACCCTAATCTCCAACCCAACAATACAAGGTTTCAAAATATTAGCTTTGGCACTTTCCAACCAGCCCATTTCTCCATGTGACGACTTTTGAGGCGCCTCAGAAGTTTTCTCCATGTGTCTTTTCTCTTCCGTTGCACATCTGCGCTCAGATTTCTTAGTTGAATCAATTTCACTCTCCGTGTCTCCCTTTCACTCCCCAGCCGCCACTGCAGCAGCCGCCCCTTGAGCAGCCGCCACTGGAGCAGCCGCCCCTGCAGCAGCCGCCACTGCAGCAGCCGCCTCTGAAGCAGCCGCCCCTGCAGCAGCCGCCCCTGGACCAGCCGCCACTGCAGCACCCGCCCCTGAAGCAGCCTCCCTTGCAGCAGCCGCCCCTGGAGCAGCCGCCCCTGAAGCAGCCGCCCCTGGAGCAGCCCCCTCTGCAGCAGCCGCCCCTGGAGCAGCCGCCTCTGCAGTAGCCGCCCCTGGAGCAGCCGCCCCTGCAGCAGCCGCCCCTGGAGGAGCCGCCCCTGCACCAGCCGCCCCTAGAGCAGCCACCCCTACAGCAGCCGCCCTTCGAGCAGCCGCCCCTACAACAGCCGCCCCTGGAGTAGCCGCCACTGCAGCAGCCGCCCCTGGAGCAGCCACCCCTGCAGCAGCCGCCCCTGGAGCAGCGGCCCCTGCAGCAGTCGCCCCTAGAGCAGCCGCCCCTGGAGAAGCCGCCCCTGCAGCAGCCGCCCCTCGAGCAGTCACCCCTGCAGCATCCGCCCCTACAAGTGGCGCCCGTGGAGCAGCCGCCCCTACAGCTGCCGCAAAGCCCTCGCCCTACAGTGGTAGCGGCCTCGCCGTTGGCACCGTCGTACGCCTGCCCTTCTCGCCACTGGTAAGCACTGCCCTGCCCGTACTGCTGTTACTACTGCTCTTGCTGCTACTGCTCTTTCTACTGCTACTACTGCTCCTGGCGTGGCTAGATGCAGCTCCAGCGCCGTCCGCGTGAGTCCTTCACCCCCCAACAGCTTCGTGAGTGGTACGCTAGTTGGGGTTATAGGGGTGGCCGCGCTACGACTACTGCTATAGCTACTGCTGCTGCTACTGTGGCTACCACTGCTCCTGCTGCTCTTGGCGGTGGCCAGATGCAGCTCCAGGGACGTCCGCATGAGTCCCTCACGCCCCAGCAGCTTCGTGAGTGGTACGCTACTTGGGGTTGTCGGGGTGGCCGTAGTGGGAGTCGTCCTGGGGTGAGTAGTTCGGCAGCTACTTGTAGTGGCCAGGTGCAGCTGCAGCGTCGTCCGTGCGCGGTCCTTTCGCCCCAGCAGCTTCGTGAGTGGTACGCTCAGCGTGGTGGGTCACGGGGTACTGCTCGCTGTCCGTACGTCATTCGCACTGGTGCTCGGACTGGTCAGCCTTGCGGGACGTTTGGTCACACAGAGTTCCGCTGCTTCGCCCGTCTGAGCGACGCCTGGCATACGGAGTTTGGCGACGCGGCTGAGCTCCCCGACTGGGTGGAGCTGCTTAGGCTGCGGGTAGATATCTATACACTTGACTATGATGCTATCCTCACTGCCATGTATGCATTGCCTACTAGTGATGAGGGTGACTGTTACCTGTGTGTTCCGCCTGACCCGGGCATTGAGGCTGCTGCTCTAGGTGCTGGTGAGGCTGCTGCTCTAGGTGCTAGTGCGTCTACTGCCCCAGATGCTCGTGAGTCTGCTCTCTCAAGTACCACATCGGCGCAGGCCTTCCACACCTTCACCCTTGACTCGGGTGCTTCCCGCTCCTTCTTTCGAGACCGCACCACGCTTACGCCCCTTAGTCGGCCAGTTGCGGTCTCCCTGGCGGACCCCTCTGGGGGTCCTATTCTTGCCCACTTCTCCACTGTCTTACCGTGTCCGGCGGCCCCCTCTGGCACCCTGTCTGGTCTCTACTTCCCCTCGTTCTCTACGAACTTGGTGAGTGGTGCTGATCTGCAGGATGGGGGGGTTGACCAGTTCACTCCTGCGAGTCAGCGGGTGACCCACTGTACGTGTGCTCGGACGGGCCGACACTTGGCCACGTTTACCCGTCAGCCGGGGTCGAGCCTGTACACACTAACTACGGAGTCTCCTCCGGTTGCTGAGTCTCTTCAGGTAGCTGCGTCGGGTCAGGTGTTTGCTGCCGCGTCCAGGTCTGGTCCTGAGTCTGCTCCCTGCTCGTGTCATCTCCTGTCCCACCAGACTCTCCTCTGGCACCACCGCCTTGGTCACCCCTCCCTGCCTCGTCTTCGAGGCATGGCCTCCCGTTACCTTGTCTCTGGTCTCCCCCGGTCCCTCCCTCTCCTCCCTCCGGGTCCTGCCCCTACCTGCGTTCCCTGCGTCGAGGGGCGGCAGCGCGCCGCCCCTCACTCCTCCAAGTTTCCTCCGATAGAGGCTCCGCTGCAGACTCTTCACATGGACGTGTGGGGCCCCGCCCGCGTCCGTGGCTAGGGTCACGAGCGTTACTTCCTGTTGGTGGTTGACGACTACTCACGTTACACCACGGTCTTCCCCTTACGCAGAAAGGGTGACGTCACTGAGGTGTTGATCGACTGGATCCGCGCGGCTCGTCTCCAGCTCAGAGAGAGTTCCGGCTCGGACTTTCCTGTTCTGTGTCTGCACTCTGACAGAGGCGGGGAGTTTCCTCTGCCCGTCTGGGAGCCTTCTGTCGTGCACAGGGCATCCGCCAAACTTGAGGGGACCGGAAGTGCTTCGCAGCGACCATGTGGAGCCGTTCCCTGAGGGGCTATTCGACCGCACGTACTAGGCGCACTGTAGGTGGGTGTGTGCCACCATGGGATGCCAGCGCGTTCCACCACGTTCCACCTTGATGCATTGCTCTGTGTGCATCGATGGGTCACAAGTTGGTGGGTGAACAGGTTTGTGGGTGGGCGGAGTGCGGGTAGTTGTATGCTGAAAATCTCAACCTCACTCGACTTTATTCACCCTGAATCTCCAACCCGGCAATACAAGGTTTCAAAATATTAGCTTTGGCACTTTCCAACCAGCCCATTTCTCCATGTGACGACTTTTGAGGCGCCTCAGAAGTTTTCTCCATGTGTCTTTTCTCTTCCGTTGCACATCTGCGCTTAGATTTCTTAGTTGAAGCAATTTCACTCTCCGTGTCTCCCTTTCACTCCCCATCCGCAATCAGTTTTGCAGATGCATACCCGTCTTTCTCCTCTCCCCATTCGCCCTCAGTTTCGAGGGCGCATACCCCAAGTGGGACCTGGTTTACGCACCCATGCTTCTTTGGCTGCTGGTGCTGCTGGTGGCGCTGCTGCTTTCAACAATGATTGCAGTGATGGCATGGAAGAAAAGGCATATGGAGGAGGGCGTTAGGGAGATGGAGCTGTGCACAGCAGTGCTGGAGAAAGCAGAGCACAGCAAGAGCGTCATTGTGGCTAACTTGTCTCACGGCATGATAGGTGGGAGCTCACATTCGTTCTCTTCCGTTCGCCTTCGTTCGCCTTCGTGCAGTTGGCAGATTGGCACCTGTTTGTCTGCCTGCTTTCTAGGTGACTATTGAATCGACTCGGGAGTCCTCAGAATGATATGTTCGTGCGTTTGTTTGCTTTCACAATTTTTGCTTGTTGCATTTGCAGAGACTCGCGCAATGTGCGCTTCGGCGCAACATTGTACGCGATTGGCACTCCTTGTCTGTCTGCTTTCTTGCCCCCTTCGTTGTCCACTCTAGGAAGTGTGTGTTCATGGCCTTGCCTCCTGTTTTTTCCAAGCTAGTTCCCAATGACAACAGCCCCCATGCTTTCGCTCTCTGAAAACTTGCTTCACAGGGATGATAGAGATGCTGCTAGAGTCGCCACTGGAGGAGTGGCAGGCGACGGACCTAAGGGATGTGAAGGAGTGCGTGCATGTGTCTTCGGATTGTCTCTGCTCCATGCCGCCTACAAGAACCTTTTCTTTGTCTCTCTTTCAAACCTCACCTCATAGGGATGATAGAGATGCTGCTAGAGTCGCCACTGGAGGAGTGGCAGGCATCGGACCTAAGGGACGCGGGGGAGTGTGCGCGGGAGATGGTTGCCCTCATCAACCGCGTGCTCGACCTCGCCAAACTGCAGGCCGGCCCCCTGCAGCTCGAGGGTCTGCCGCTCTGCCTGCCTCGCGTGGCTCAGCATGCCGTCGCCCTCGCTGCTCAAGACCCGTGCGCCAGGGGGTTGCAAGGTGCGAGAGACACTTTATGGATAGGGGTTGAAAGGTATGTGTTGTTTTGGCCCAAGGGATTGAGAGGTATGAAAGTTTTTTGCACAAAGGTACGAGTGTTATCCCACAAAGCTACGACTTATATTGTTTGATGTGGACCTTCAAATGTTGTAATATCATTTCTACCATTCATAACATGGAAGTCATGATGTATTTAGCATAACATATTCTCTATGTCGTCTCTGAGATGTAGTGTCTTGCCATGTGGATCCAAGCTTGCCGGATGTGCTGATGGGCGATCCAACGCGACTGGCTCAAGTCGTGGGCGAAATCACGTGTGAGTGGAGGTGACGGTAAGTGGAGGCAACATGTGAATGGATGTGACATGTGAATGGAGGAGAGGGTCGTTACTCGTACCACCAGGTAGCGGGTCAGGAAGGTAGCGGGAGGTAGGGAGTGGACTCATCAAAAGCCACGTCCCGAGGGTGTTATGGGCGTATTCACGGGCTACTCAATAAGCCCTTTTATTCTAGTGGTGTGATGGCTGGGATTCTGACATGGTATTAGAGCGAAAGTTTCGGGTTCGAATCTCATGTGGCACATGCTGACGTGGCGCCCATGTGTCGCTGTCGCTGTGCTGTGTCCTGGTGCATTCTAGTGAAGGGGGTGTCAGAAGACCTGCACTGGGAATCCTCGATTGATCTTAGGGAAGGGTTACAGGTTCATAGCCTGAAGGGTTATGGGCGCACTCATGCACTACTTAACAAGCCCTGTTACCCTAGTAGTATAGTGGCTTAGATTCTGACAGCAAGTTCCCCCTGTGGCAGGTTTTACTCACTTGCTCACTTCTTCCTGCTCCCATTTACCTCTCCACGTCCGTACGTCTTGCAGCGCATGCAGCAAGCAACACTCTAGTGGGCGACGTCACCTTCCATGTGTGGTGTGCCGCCCCTCCTCTCCAGCAAGGCCCTCATGCAACCTCTTCTCAACCCACCACCCCTTGCCTCACCACCTCTCGTCCCACCACCCCTCCTCCAACCACCTCTCGTCCCACCACCCCTTGCCTAACCACCTCTCGTCCCACCACCCCTTGCCTCACCACCTCTCGTCCCACCACCCCTCCTCCAACCACCTCTCGTCCCACCACCCCTTGCCTCACCACCTCTCGTCCCACCACCCCTCCTCCAACCACCTCTCGTCCCACCACCCCTTGCCTCACCACCTCTCGTCCCACCACCCCTCCTCCAACCACCTCTCGTCCCACCACCCCTTGCCTCACCACCTCTCGTCCCACCACCCCTCCTCCAACCACCTCTCGTCCCACCACCCCTTGCCTCACCACCTCTCGTCCCACCATCCCTCCTCCAACCACCTCTCGTCCCACCACCCCCCAATCGTCCTCCTCTCGTCCTGCCACCCCTCGTTTCCAATGCTCCAGCACACCACTTTCATCCCTTCCTCCTAAACCCACCTCGTGGCAACCTCCCCCCGCCCTCAAAATATCTCAAGCCCCTCAAAACTCTCGCACCCATCTCACCCCACCAGCCTCACCAGCCCCTCAAACTCCTCGCACCCCTCCATTTTCTCCAGCCCCTGCTGCCCTGCACTCTTCTCGCTCCCCCCCAGTCGCTCGCACCCCTCCATTATCTCCAGCCCCTGCGGCTCTGCACGCCCCCACAGCCTGGCAGCAGCAGGCAGCGTGTGTGCGGAGCTTTCCCCCAGACACCCGCCTGGTGTGCACCCCTCAGCACCTCTCAGCACCCTTGGGAAGTCTCTCCGCCCAAGCAGAAATTCAGGGTGAAAGGCTGTTGGCAGGGTTGGGAGGGCTGGGAGGGGCGGGATGGCTGGCAGCGTTGGGCCTGTCAAAAGAGTGGGGAGGGGGGAGAGGTGGAAGGGAAACGTGTGTGGGTGAGCAGCAAAACACAGGTGTGGAGAGTGGTGGAGATGGGCAGGTGGAGAGTGGTGAGGGAGGGCGGCTAGAGAGGGAGGTGACAGCGTGGGTGGAGGGGGTGTGCCGGGCGAGAGGTGCAGAGGCATCGTGTGTGGGTGAGCGGCAAAACACAGGTGTTGGGAGTGGTGAGGGAGGGCGGCTAGAGAGGGAGGTGGCTGCATGGCTGGAAGGGGCGTGCAAGGCGAGAGGGGAGGGCGAGTGGATGGTGGTGATGGCGTGTGAGGATACGGGCGGTGGTATTCCACCCGAGGAGATGCGGTGGGTGCTGGATCCATATGGGGGCGACCCTCACCACTCCACATGCTCCCCTGCTGCTGCTGATGATGCGGCTGATGATACTGATGGTGTTAATGGTGCTGATAGTGGTGGTAAGCGTAGCAATAGCAAGAAGCAACGAAGAGTCGCGGTGAGTGAAGCCATACCTGAGTGTATACGTGCATATGTGCGTGCATGATTGTATGTATGTACATGTGTACGTGCGTGCATGAGTGTATGTATATACATGTGTATGTGTGTGCATGAGTGTATGTATATACGTGTGTATGTGCATGCGTGCGTGTGTCACTTTGTGGGTGTGTGTGCGTACGTCTGTGTGTGTGCGCCTGTGTGCATGTGTGTGCGTACATGTGTCAGAATATGTTGTTTGTGTAGCCTGCAGTGGGGCACTCAATAGTGAGTACAGCCCCTTAGGGTTTGCTATTTGTATCCTGCTTCTTGCTAGTTCACCCATTCCTTCTCAATTCCATTCCTGCACACAATCCTAGCTCGTACTTGGCGCCTCCTCGCTTTAGCCCTACTGTGGCCTAGGCTACTAAGCCTAGGCCGTGCTCCTACTCTCTTTGACATGGTATCAGAGGGCAGCATGTCTTCCACCTTCCTGTGTATGGGCCCACCACCCGCTTCCGCTGCCCTACCGTCCGCCGCGCGCCCCGTGGTGCGCGGCAGCGAAACCCTAATTTCTGCCCGCCGCGCGCTCGGGGCGCCTGGCGGGTTTCCCTTCAGTGGCGCCCGTCGTGGTGCCCTTGGGGGGGCCTCAGCGGTCCCCTCTCGTCGAAGCGCCCGTCGAGGCGCTCTTGGGGACCCGCGCGGCCTCCCCTCCCGTCGCCCGTCGAGGCGACCTCGGGGACCCGCGCGGCCTCCCCTCCCGTCGCCCGTCGTGGCGACCACGGGGGCCGTGCGCGGCGCCCTCCCCGTCGCCCGTCGAGGCGACTTTGGGGGCCGTGCACGGCCCTCCCCGTCGCCCGTCGTGGCGACTTCGGGGGGCCCGCGCAGCGCCCTCCTCGTCGCCCGTCGAGGCGACTCTGGAGGCCCGTCGCGGCGCCCTCTCTGGTGCCCGTCGCGGCGCCCTCTCTGGTGCCCGTCGTGGCGCCCGGGGGGGGGCCGCGCGGCTCCCTTCTCATCGCCCCTCGGGGACGCCCCTCCCTCCTCCTCACTTTCACCTGCAGCGGCCGCCCCTGGAGCCGCCCATCCCTGCAGCAGCAGCCCATGGAGCCGCCCACCACTGCAGCAGCAGCCCTTGGAGCCGCCCACCACTGCAGAGGCAGCCCATGGAGCCGACCACCACTGCAGCAGCAGCCCCTGGAGCCGCCCACAGCTTGCAGCAGCCGTCCCAGGACCCCTGCAGCAGCCCGCGGCCCGCCCCTGCAGTTGCTCGTGATGTCGTACCTGCACCCCATCCCCCCCCCCCCCCCCCCCGTGCTGCCCATTCTCCCGTTCTGCCGTGTGTTCCGCGGTGGTTGGGGGGTGGGGTGGCGAGCATGGGGAGTGGAGCTATGGGGGTGATGTGGGAGTGGAGCTAGGGGTGAAACAGGGGGTGTGTGTAGGGGGGTGTGGGACTGTTTGGGGAGGTTGAGTGGAGGCTGCTGTCTTGTCGTCCGCAGCACCTGTAGTCCGGGGTGCACTGTCCTGGTAGCCCAGAGAGCCTGCTACGCCTGTCGCCCGTGGGTCCGTTGCTCTTGTAGCTCCTCGTAGCCCGTGAGCCAGTTACTCCAGTAGTCCGGGGCGCTGTCCCGGTAGCCACTGTGCCAGCCGCTCCTATTGCCCGTGTGTCTGCAGCTTCAGCCGTCGTCTCCCATCTTCTCTCCTCTCACAGTCCCTCCTCCTCACTTGCTCGCTGTGACTACCACTAGCTTTGCTCATAATTGTGAACTTTAAATTGTTGCTTCTTGTAATTGTGCTCAGAATGTGTGGTGACATTGTGATCCACCCTGAGCTTGTTCTGCTTTGCTTACTGTGCTGATTACACCCCACTTTGGCTATGGGGGTGTGTCAAAATATGTTGTTTGTGTAGCCTGCAGTGGGGCACTCAATAGTGAGTACAGCCCCTTAGGGTTTGCTATTTGTATCCTGCTGCTTGCTAGTTCACCCATTCCTTCTCAATTCCATTCCTGCACACAATCCTTGCTCGTACTTGGCGCCTCCTCGCTTTAGTCCTACTGTGGCCTAGGCTACTAAGCCTAGGCCGTGCTCCTACTCTCTTTGACAACATGCAGCGTGCGAGCGTGCGCGCGCGTGTGCGTGTGTGTGTGTGTGTGTATGTGTGTGTGTGTGTGTATGAGTGTGTGTGTATGTGTGTATATGTGTGTGTATGTGTATATATGTGTGTGTGTATGTGTGTGTGTGTATGTGTGTGTGTATGTGTGTGTGTGTGTGTGTGTGTGCACGCACGCACGCGAGCGCATGTGTGCACGTGCGTGTGTGCATGTGTGTGTGTGCGCACGTGCGTGTGCGTATGCGTGCGTGCGTGCGTGCGTGTGTGCGTGCGTGTGTGGTGCATGCATGATTTTCTAGTGATCCATTGCGAGGATGATTCCGCTTGAAAATCGGTAATCGTGCGCAAGCCTTTTAGGATGAACTCTTAGCAAGATGCAGAAGAGAATAATCAACCATTCAATTGTCAGAGTATGTACAAGTGCATGAGTGCATGCATGTGACTACATTGGATGCTTGTGTGCATTGGATTCACTTTCCTTCCCTTGTGTGTTTTTTTAGAATTCCCTTGTGTGTTTTTTAGCGGCCTCCCTCACGGCCCCTAGTGGCCCCGTCGCGCCGTCCTCACGGCCCCGTCGCGCCGCCCTCGCGGCCCTCTTCGCACCGCCCTCCCGGCCCCTTTCCGCGGCCCCGTAGCCGCCCTTTCAGCGGCCCCGTAGCCGCCCTTTCAGCGGCCCCGTTGCCGCCCTTTCCGCCGCCCCGTCGCCGCCCTTTCGGCGGCCCCGTCGCCGCCCTTCTGCGGCCCCGTCACCGCCCTTCCACGGCCTCGCCGCCCGCCCTTGCAGCGGCCCCGTCGCCGCCCTTCCGCGGCCCCGACGCCGCCCTTCCGCGGCCCCGTCGCCGCCCTTCCGCGGCCCCGACGCCGCCCTTCTGCGGCCCCGTTGCCGCCCTCCAGCGGCCCCGTCGCCGCCCTTCCGCGGCCCCGTCGCCGCCCTTTCAGCGGCCCCGTCGCCGCCCGCCCTTTCAGCGGCCCCGTCGCCGCCCGCCCTTTCAGCCGCCCCGTCGCCGCCCTTCCGCGGCCCCGTCACCACCCTTTCAGCGGCCCCGTTGCCGCCCTTCCGCGGCCCCGTCGCCGCCCTTCAGCGGCCCCGTCGCCGCCCTTCCGCGGCCCCGTCGCCGTACTTTCAGCGGCCAGTCGCCGCCCCTTCAGCAGCCCGTCGCCGCCCTTTCAGCGACCCCATCGCCGCCCTTCCGCGGCCCCGTCGCCGCTCAGCCGCTCAGCGCCCGAGCCGCCGAGCAGCAAAGCAGCTGAGCCGCCCAGCCGCCGAGCAGCCGAGGCGCCGGGCAGCCGAGCCGCCGAGCAGCCGAGCCGCCCGACCGCCGAGCCGCCCTGCAGCCGAGCTGCCCGACCGCCGGGCTGCCCAGCAGCCGAGCCGCCGAGCCACCGAGCCGCACCGCAGCCGAGGCGCTGCCACCTGTCGGCCCGCCCGGGACCGCCCCACTTGCCAGGTAAGAGCAGCGCCTCTACCACTGCACTGCCCTGCCTCACTGTACTCACTGCCTGTCTACTGCTGTCATGGCCTCCCCTAGTGTTCTCACCTTTGACGCTGAGGGTCGGGCAGTGGACTTTGAGGTCTGGGTAGATGATCTACAGCTTTTCCTACAGTGCGATAGGGCAGACGGCCTCTCCCTGTTTGACCTCACTTCTGGTGCCTCTCCTGCCCCTACTGCTGATGCTGACGCCACTGTTCGCTCACACTGGGCCACGCGTGATGCTGCTACTCGCCTTGCTGTGCGCCGCCACTTACCGACCACTGAGCGTGCACACTTTAGCCAGTACAAGAGTGCTCAGACCTTGTACGACGCTGTAGTTGCACGCTACTCTTCCCCTGCCACTGCTGCACTGAGCCGCCTCATGCTACCGTACCTCTTCCCTGACCTTGCTGCCTTTCCCACAGTCGCTGACCTCATTACGCACCTCCGCACTAGTGACACTTGCTACCGCGCTGCGCTTCCTGCTGAGTTCTACGCCAAGAACCCCCCCCCCCATGTACATCACCCTCTACTACATAGTCACCCGGCTCCCTGACTCTCTCCGCGTAGTCAGGGACCACTTCCTCTCTGTTTGCCCCACCACTCTCACCGTTGACGTCCTCGAGAAGGCCCTCCTAGCGATAGAGAAGAGTATAGTCGCTGTAGGAGCCTCTCGTGGTGAGCCTCGCACCCCCGTCTTTGAGGGGTGTTCTCCCTCCCCCCTCTTTCCCTCTGTTGCCTCTGCTGCTGCGGCCGACCTCGTTGGTTTCAAGTTGTTCGGCGCTGCTTCTGCGCCGAACCGGAGATGCCGCACCGGCAAAGGGCAAGGGGGGCAAGGGCGCTGGAGGGGCTGGCGGGGGCGGTGGAGGTGGTGGTGGAGGCAGTGGAGGGAGTGGGGGTGGTGGTGGGAGTGGTGCTGGGGGTGGCGGCGGCGGCGGCAGCAGTGGAGGCGGCGGAGGCGGCCGTGGTGGCAGAGGGAGCGGAGGCGGCGGAGGTGGCGGAGGAGGCGGAGGTGGAGGAGGCGGCGGAGGCGGCGGCGGCGGCGGCGGCGGTGGTGGAGAGGGTCGCGACTCTGCGCAGAGGAGTGGCTCAGGTGGTGGTCCGTGCCAGCAGCAGCGGAGTGGTGTGACCCTGTCCCCTCAGCAGCTTTGTGAGTGGTACACTGCGGGTCAGCGCGGTGGGGGTTTTGGTCCCTGCACTTAGGTCCTCCGTACCGGCGACCAAGCTGGTGAGCAGTGCGGGGGCCCGCACTCCACCCAGCGGTGCTTTGGTCGCCTGACGGACGCGTGGCGTCACCAGTTCCCTGAGGCGTCAGAGATCCCTCGCTGGGGAGATCTGTCTAGGGCGGGGGTTGGCGTCTTTGATCTTGACTATGATGCTATCCTTGCTGCCATGTATTCTGTGACTACTAGTGTTGAGGGTGACTGTTACCTGTGTGCACCGCCTGACCCAGGCATCGAGGCCACTGTTCTAGGTGCTGGTGAGGCTGCA